ATATATATATGACCCGGTCAATGGCAGCCAGAACCCTTATTGTGCTGGTGTCTTCTCTTTATTTTGCTCGCTGTACAATGTCCATAACACGGCCATTGTGTTTGGTATTACCCGAAGTGCTTCAATGTCTGTCTCGTACTAGTGGAAGCGACTGGCTGCTGGTATGATGCGTCATATCTCAATGTGACTGTCGGGGCACTTGATGTGCTTGGCACTGCCTGAGGTTTTGGTATGCTATCGCGAAATACGGTTTAAATCCAGTTCAAGGTTTTATGATATTCCGTTTTTTTTAGACCAATGAAGTCACTATATATCTCTGCTTGTTCCATCCGAACATTGCTGGAATGTGTATGGTCATTTGTGATTTAATTTGGTCTGTCTGAGAGAGCCATAAGCTGAAATCCAGACAGTCATCGCAACCACTGCGTGGTTCAACATTCCTAGACGCTCCCATAGCAAGGCTTGCCGCAACACCTATTTAACCAAGCCGTTGCTTGTACTGTCAATTTACTACAGGTCGGACATTTCCTCCGCCGAACATTCAAAGCCATCGAGTACGGGATCTCCAATGAAGCCTCCAGCGCCTATAGCCTGAACGCCAATCAGATACACGGACTGCTTAGACAGATACGAGCTTTTGCATTGCACTACCTACATCCGTGTGGTACGACCGTCGACGATCGGGGGAGAAACGGCACTGCAGTTGATAGTGAGTTCGCGTCGGCCATGCTGGCGAGACGAGTGCAAAATATTGGTATGACCAAACGGGGTATTCAGTTGTTGACTTAAAACCTAATTTTCATTCTCAACCGACGTGTATACGTGTATGTATGTGTATATATTTCCGTGACAAGATCGCTTGTTGCTGGGTTGCGTACCTTCATCCAATATATAGCTTTGTCTTGCAAGTACTTTCTGGCTAAGACCGTGCCCATTCTATGCTTTTGCCAGTGCTTCTGTGTTTCCGCCTGCCCAATACACCGTACACAGCAGTCACACTCTAAACTGCACTACTCGCATGTACAAACAGACGAGGGCTTCGGTAGCTCGCACATGTCTCTGATGTGCATGTATTCAGACTACATGGGTACCTAGCACTCGCCCTTGGGCTGTCTTTGTGCGTTCGTATATAACCATCACAACAAAGCACGGTGCAAACACTACGCCCACACTGACTATTTATAACACACCAACTTGTTATGGCTCACGCACTCGCACTGCTGATGTCTTCGCCATCAACATAGGCGCCTGATGCAAGGCATAGACTCCCTGCCCGTGACACGCCATCACACCCCTCGTCCTTGGCCATTTCAGCTGAGTATAGCTGTACGCTTGTTCTCACAGCAGAATATCAGGCACACTAAACGAACGCTTCTCTCTGCGTCCTTTGTTTGTATACAGCTGATGTTTTCAGCCACACAGATAGGCGCCTGGTACTGAGCGTAGTCTCCTCACTCGTGAACGGCTGCCGCACACTCTCGTCTCTGGCAAATCCGGCAGAGTCTGGACTATTATCGAATAGTGCGCTCCGTGGAGGCGCGCACTCACTTGGGGCCGCCTATCTGGATGTAGTACTGGTAGTATCTGAGTGCCGTAGGTACGTGGAGTGTATGAAGGCCGGCAATGGGCCACAGTCGGGTTACGCGTACCTGGACAAGGCTGTGATACTTGAAAGGTACGTGAATTAAATAGCACACGTGCGTTTATCTTGTGCCTGTGTCTGTAGGTTCAGCGGTTGCATGCATGAGTGTAGCGTATTTAATTTTATTGCTGGTCCTTACTGGGTGCAGAGGGTGTGTAGACTGTATCTACGCTGCGAGTGTCCTACAGTCGGCAGGCACACGCCTGCATCTTGCTGCGACTCTTGAGATATGCTTCCACTGTTATCAGGTTAAGGCCAGATGTACCCGACGCTCAATACAACTAGCATGTGCATGGCTCGCCAAGAATTATCACCTAGATTCTACCACACGCCACTTAAGAAGTAGGCGCATAGAGAGTGACTCGGCATAATTTTTCTACTCCCCTTCCTTCAGTTAGTCCCTCTTACAGTCTCCCAGTAGTCAAGACCACCTACGTGTCCTAGTAATGGAAAATTAACCTTCCCATGTTCTGTACGTGCCATATCATCCTGTCAATACAGCATCGACGACCTATTGCGCACGTTGGCACCGCAGACAGAGCGGTGTCTCAACAGTGACCTCTCCACCGAAACTCCGCCTGTGATGTTGAGCTCCTACTGGGCCCGAGCGGCCGAGGTGTGTCTGAGAGCTATGCACGGGCACGACGAACCACAGTCAACACATACGGACACTTTGCTGAGACTGTTGAAACACCAGGATGAACATGTGGCGCTATCTGCTTTGGCATTCGTGGTCGATCATGCAGATTTCTGCATGCATCCAGGTAGGTGGATGTCAAGAATTGTCGGATTTCTCGGATTTCTCATGCCATGGGTCGGATCATTTCCCACACCTGGGCTTCATTTTAAAGGGCGTACCTCAGGGTCGGACGACCCCTCAGGGTCGGACGACCTCGTAGTCTGTATCAAGTTGTCAGCAGCTTCATTGAAAGCTACTTCTCGAGTTGAGAGAGCAATTTAGCGAGCTGGGTATCTCTAAAAGAAACCAGCTCTAGCTCAATAACTGCCAGGTGTTCAGCTTGAACCTCACAGATAATTGGGTAAGGTTAGAACGTTCGTTTCTCTTGGTGTAGTGTTCTCAAGGTCATGGATGATGATCTACGATATTCAAATTAAACAGTTGGCAATCAACTTGGTAACTC